TTCACTCTTACAGGCTTAAGAAGCCTTTCCGAACGCGGAAAATCACTTGTATGTATTGTCACCCGACATTGCCTTCAGCTTCAGAAGCTAAAGCGGAGAAACGTTTGGGTTGAAAAGGGGAAATATACGTGGAAATAAAAAATTCATCGTCAACTTTCGTAGAGTTTTTCCAGCCAAAATGTCAGTTTATTTAATCGGAAACCCAAGTGGGTTAGTTAAAATTTTCTGACTATTTCTGACAAGGAAAAACTCTGGCAAGATTATATTATCAAAAAGAAATGCAAATATTCAAAAATATAAATGTTGTTTCCGCCCGGGATCGAACCGAGGACCTTGCGCGTGTAAAGTGCATGTGATAACCACTACACCACGGAAACGCCTCTCCTGCCCTCTCCGCACTGTCTTGTGAAATGATGCATTGCAGTAGGAACTAGATGCGTTTGATGAAAAGGATGAGTCTCCACTCGTTCTATTCCCATCAAACCGGATGAGGAAGGAAGAGATAAGTCCTCAGTCATGCAACTACTGTATCTCGAGAGTCTGAACCGAGTGACCTTTGGAAATCCGCTTTCTAAGCGGACGGATCGTCGTCACCAGACGAAAATTTTCACCCGTCTCGAAGTGCAAGGAATCCCCCGTCGTGAAAAAGTAGGTTCTGATATTGCTCTGTGCAGCCATCCTCGTGCCCTATTACAGAATGCATGATTTAATGAGTTATGGGGGGGAGGTCCTCCAGTTTCCACGTTGACGTGACGATGTTTGTCCAGTTTCTCTTTCCACGCCCTCGTCGTGCCCCGCACGAGTCGGTAGCCAGCAGCGTGCAGTTGTCAGCTAGTAATGGCAGTCAGCAGTCGGCAGCCACGAGTCGACAGTTGGAAATGCGATGAACCACCTATGAGATCCCTGCCAACATGAGACGGGTCTTCCTTGGTTCCCCATATGTTCCCCATTTACTGTCAAATGAATCATGCACATTTTTAAATCTTTCATTAACTTTCAATCTCGGTTCGGAATAAGAATTCCGAGGAGCTGATTTCCAAGGAGTCGGCAGAACGAAAGAGAGAGAGACTAAGACGATTCTGCTGCCCTTAGAAGTTTCTCCTACGATCCCTCATCTTTCATACAGAACGAACTCGCAACCTCTGTGGTTGTTGGGATAACCCATCACGTCGATCACGCCCCGTTGCAATGCAGCTCACCTTTCCAAGAACGATGTCCAATGCTCTAATCCAGTGATGAGCAACCTTCGTTTGACTGCGAGCCGCAAGTGAACCTTTCAGGTTCCCGGCGGGCCGCATGTTTTTTTTTTCATACTGAATTACAGGCTTTACGCCTGCAGAGTACCAAAATAATCTCAAGCCCGGCTTTGAAAGCCAGGTAGTAAAGTAGTTGATGTTAACCTTATGCAAAGAACCAATTTTGAAAATTTTCTCATATTTTTTTCTGGGCAAAATACCAAGCAGGCCGCTTGCTCCGAGAGCAGTGATACATTGACCAAGAAGAGAGCGATGGGATATTTGCAACGGAATATAGCATTTATGTTATATTTCTTGCTTCGGTATCTCATGCAGTAGGCAACGGAATCCTTGAGCGCTGCGCTTTACTCCGGGTGGCAGACAAGAGGGAAAAAAAATTCAGTTGGCAAAGCCCCGCGGGCCGCAGGTTGCTCATCACTGCTCTAATCCCTATCTCACCGATCTCGAAGGTAACTTCGCGTTCGTATATAAGTGTGAACCTCCAGGGACAACCATTGAGAAAACCATGAGACTGAGACAACCATCTTCAACCCTAATGCTGCGACTGCCGAGCATGCTCGATCGGCATATTCCGTCGTTCTGCGCGTCCCGTCGAGTGTACACAACCGAACTGATATACTGTACATCTAGATGGTGCCGGTGAGTATCAAGTTCCAGCTAGTTGCCTGCTTTCTCGCTAGATGTCGCTGTGTATTGAAAATGACTTTTGAAGCGGGTGGTTGACAGCCGATTTCAGTCAGACTGCTGGCATCAACAAGTAAAAATCGTCTTGAGTGAATCAGAACTCGAGCAGTGCATGCTGGATACTGATTCCGGAGATGATGACACTGTCAAAATATGTGAGTCACGTGCCAACAACACTACTGAGCACGTCTGTAGCTCGAAGTCTGATGTGGAAACACAGCTAATAAGCGAGATCGGGCTTGGTTTGCGTGGTTAACTGATGACTACAGGCACAACGAGTACAATTTTGACACGTCAAGCTCGGGAGTGGTTAATGAAGAGCGAAGCGAAAGGAATATATTGGGCACTGTAAACGCAACCAAACACGTTCCCTTTTGATCCAAATAAATAAATTTTAAAAGCTTCAATTGAAAATTCCCTGTTAGGTTGTCGGTGAACACTGACTCGCATTGAGAGCAACCAGCGCTGTTCGGTAGTGATACAACCAGTCGAAAGCAGAATGGGATTTGAACCAAAAGCGAGGAAAAGCAACGCTGAGGAAACGAGAAAAAAAAACCTCTTCAATGCTACTCCTGTATTCTTCCGATTCCTCTAAGAAAGCTATGCCATGAAATTGCAAGCTCTATTTCGGAATTTCGGTGAAAATTTGATGGAGTGTCGACATTGTCCTGTTAGTCGTAGGAGTATGGGGAGCTGAAACACTTTTCTGCATGGAATTTGCTTGTTGTGATCATGAATAGTCTTATTTTAATACAGGGAGTTCGAAAGTACTGCAACACATGGTCGTGCAAATTATTTTTAAAATTTTTAGGGGAACAATGGCTGAAACGAGATATTCACTTGAAGAAAGAATCTTCTTAGTGTCTAGTTACATTCGACGTAAGAGTTATACTGCAACCCAACATGGATTTGATGAAAGGTATGGAGAAGAAACACGCGGATCAGTGCTGCACGATCAATTGACCCAACAGAGCTGAATGTTCTGTTGCAATTGTTCAAGACTGTGATTTGCATACACCGAATTTTCAAAAAAGGCACACAGGAAAAAGTCTGGTGAACTTAGGTATGAGATTCGAGGTGGCCATAATCCTGCTGAAATAAGGCATCCAGAGAATTTTGATTCCAGGTATGCCATTGTTGCCCTAGCTGTGTGTGCTGTGGCGTTATCCTATGAAACCAGGTAAGCTCGCGTTTGCCATCATTCAGTGTAGCAAAAAATTTCTCAACTATGCCGATGTAACGTTCCGAGGTCGATGTTTCACTACAGAATGTGATGAAAATCCATTTCCTTGATATTGCGCACCGTTTGTTTTTCACATTACCAGTTTCCCACATTTTATCGTATTGGCGCTTGATGGTCGAATGTGGAAATGTATTGTTCTATGAACCATTCTTCAAATTTATGTTGGGTTGCAGTATAATTCTTACTTCGAATGTAACCAGACACTAAGGAGATTCTTTATTTAAGTGAATATCTCGTTTCAGACATTGTCCACCTGAAAGCCAAAAAAAAAATATTTACACGGCCTTGGGTTGCGGTACTTTTCGAACACCCTGTATGTTTTGATAGTGTGCTGCGAGAACACAAATAAGCATCGAGCTTCAGATTTCGAAGGACATCACCATCTCTAATTTCGAGATATCGTATAGCCAACTGATATCTGATATCGCGATGGTATATGAGTCACGCGATACTTATTCTGAGGATCGGAAATCATTCCCAGACGAAAAAAATTTAAGCTTGCCCTTCCAGGAATACATCCAGCATCTCAATTGTCATGCCATGCATGGTATCCCGGTAGTAGAATGGGGATTCTAATCTCATTTATCGGAGTCACGCGTATCGTACCTGGTTTCAACATCCAAATCTGTCATAAAACCAAGACACTGTCACATGTATGACTCAAGAGAAGGATAGGAATTCAGATTAGATAGGATTTGAAAGGCAAACCTGTCTACCACTTAAAAACGACAGAAAGTATCTAATCTCCCATTAAATGCTCTATAGAAAAATAAGCTCTCACACTCTCACTGAGACTTCTAATTCTTTTGTTGCAGCACCAACAGGATTGTTGGAATTTTATTATTTATCATAATAACATATAAAATAGGATTTTCCCTAACAAGTACGAAGCACACCTCGTACATGTTATGGAAACGCAGTTAACTAGGAACACTTTAGGTTCCTTCGTTGACCTTTGGTACGAACTTGAGAGTATTTCACAGGACCACGATCCCCTCACTTAGCTCCAGAAACTCCGACCCAGCCTGATAGCGTGAGAAAACAAGGCGTGGAACTCGTGGGGGAAATCGGTACGGGCTCTTAAGGGGACACGAGGGACTAGGTGAAGGTCGACAGCTCTCCTCCCTCCACCTCCCTCTCCGTGAGATATCAGGTCCAATAGCTAGTGCAGAAGAATGCCTGTTCGTCAGTTTGACCAAATAGAGAGATTAGAAACGTGCTATAACATGGTGGCTCATCTCTTATGCTTCACTTTCCTCTTAATTTACGATTCTGCCGAGTTCGCTTCCATATCCAGGCATGGACGTGCTACTGCTACTCTTTCTGATGTAAGATTTCTGCTTTTGTAGTTGTGGTAATAGTATAGTACGCTTCCACTTAAGGAACAGTCAACACAGTCTACTGTGTTGACTGTTGACAACACAGCTTACAGTCAACTGTGTCAATTTAGGCACAACCGTCTCTCGGAGGCATACGCAGGACGGGACATTTATTGCGCAAAAAAAAAACACAATTAAGAGCTCAGAAATATCAAAAGCACTGAACAAATTTTTTCAAGTCCAGGATGGTTCATCACATTGGGTACTGCCGTCTGATCTCATCGAGGATGTCCCAGAACGGAGTCTCGCTGTGAAGTCCCCTCCACCAATTTTTGACGCAATAAATATGGGGCTAAGTGGACGGTCTTGACCAAGTGGACCCGTACTATACCGATGGTATCGAGACGTACTCGGGGAGGGGGCGGGAGACAACGGCCCCCTCCCGTCCTACTCCTCCGAGAGATGGTTGTGCCTAATTTGAATGTATTCCTTAAGTGGATGCGTACTTTACTATTACCGATTTGACACTGTAACTCGAAAAAGAGGATGAACTCGGAGTGGTACATTTCTTACACAACCACGAAATGTTATTCTCACGAAAATAATTTCTGACTGCGGTGGTAGGCTTCTGTCAGAGAAGTTCCCCACTTAAGGCGTTAAGTCGGCATGATTACTCCTACGCTTAATAAGGCCATTGCATAATTACATGCTGATGAACTCGGGGACTTCCAAGCTCTTCTTCAGATGAAGGTCCACGTTCAATTTGAAATGAAATGAACTAGCTGTAGCAACAGCAATATTGTCCTCCAGACAAGTTTACCAGATGTTCGTCTGAAGACACTGGAAATCCTTTACATCGCTGCCAAAAGTAGCCAATTACTCGTAATCCGCACTCCAGACAAGCTACAATCCAGAATTCTGCTTCCATTCCAAACCCATTCACTACTGCAGAATCCAAGTTATACAAAATTTCATGAAAGTCTAGTACTTTGGGTTTAGTCACAGACTTCACCGTATTCTCTCAACTGGAAAATCCCTCACTTTCAAAAGGTCAAGGCTTGTTAGCGGACGACTAACACCATCTAAGAATGAAAATGGATTTTTTTTTCACAGTCCAGACGATAAAACAAGCGACACGGCTTTTTTTTTCCCAAAGGGAGAAGCGAGGCCCCCAACAATTCCTTGCACCATCTGCGGGAGGCAATTCGGCAGCAAGAGCATATCCATCCATATTCCTCAGTGCTTGGAGAAATGGAGGAGAGAGAACGAGGCTCTACCACAAAGCCTCAGGCAACCTGAACCCAAACCACCCGAACCGATTCTCACGGGTGAGTCCCAACACATGCATTAAAAATTGCAATTATTTCAAGTGCACGAAAAATTATATACACAATCCGACTCTCGCTGTTGCAGAATCAGGAGAGGTCGACGTCGAGGCAACTCAGGAACTGTTCTGGCAGGCTCACCTTCAGCAACTGGTGCCTTGTCCCCACTGTTCTAGGACTTTCTTCCCCGACAGACTGGATAAACACGTCACCAGCTGCCTCTCCAAATCGTGACCATTCCAACTCAATATTTCTTGACGCTCTCAGAGAGAAACGGCAGGCAAGCACGGCTCAAGACTACCTCTCTTCCGACTGGAGTACATTGATGAATCCGTACAATAGAAACAAAGAGGCACAGATGACTTTAGTTTTCGTGTGACCTGTGATATTCTTCTGTGTTTTCCAGAGATGAATGAAACACAGTGACGACCTTTCCATATTCCGTTTTTTTTTTTTTTACCATTTCCACATCAAAAGCATTCCCACCTCAGCATACATTTGCACCTGTCTCTGGTTCAAAGAGCAACTTCAAGGACCAACAGACAAAATATGAACGAAATTCTGAAAAGAGTCAATATAAGTTAAAGAAACCACAAGAAGTGAAAAGACCGAGGGCAAGAAAACAGAAAATGGAGAGATTGAAAGACAGACAAAGAAAAAGAGAGAGAACAGAGGAGGTGCAGAGTATGCTGGGGAATCTAGGTGTCCATCTGGCCATTACAACTTGTCCAAGTACTGGGTCAGGTCAGGTAGGCCTTCCTTCAATCCCTTCCTCTTACGGATTACCTGAAAAAAAAACAAAGATCACGTTCAAAACCTCCATCCTGACTGTTTTAATGCTCTACCAGGACACAATACTTATGAATTCATGAAATTTGATGCTAGGTCTTTGCTTGGAGAGTAAAATTGTACAGAAGTAAATCAAAATGGAAATACAGAAACCCATGCAAGCTGGATCAAGCCACCGAATTTCAACATTTATGCTCTTCACAAACAAGCCAGAAGATTGTCTACCTGGATGATTTCATGGGGTCGAGACTTCCCATCGGTTGGGTCCCCAGGCAGGATCTGCCAATGATCAAACACGCATTGCGGGAAAGCTTGGCCGCCCGTGTTGCTGCGCAGATCCGCAGTGAATCCGAAAGATTCGTTGACGGGCAGATATGCCTTCACCACGAACATGGGAGTGCCCATGACTTGCATCTCCTCAAAGACATGCCCTCGCCTGCGATTCAGCACGCCATAGATCCCACCCACTGCATTCTCGGGACATTGGATCTCACACAGATACACCGGCTCCATGATTCTTGGGTGAGCGGTGAGGATGCAGGCATACAGACATCGCCTGGTCGTCGGGATGATCTGACCGCCGCCACGGTGGATGGCATCGGCATGTAGCGTCACATCATGGATGTTGAATCGCACAGCCCGCATGTTCTCCTCAGCCAACACTCCCTACAGGAAACCACATTGGATTCAACCAGAGTGCTTCTTCCATAAGCATGAATAGAAGAAAAATCAGCAGTATATTCAGGGGAAAGTTGAAACGTCACCGAGAATGAGGTAAGAGAGATCCTCCAATACTCTCAGGCAATGTAGGTAATTGTCATCATTGATTGGTATAAAACAAATCCAAAGCCTGAGAAAATTAAATCTAATGAAAGGATAATGAAAATAACTCACCTCTTTAGAAGCCCACTGGAAGCCAGCAATCACAGAGTCCTTGATTTCATTCAAATATTGGACTCCCTTGGTGCAATCAACCAGGATGTTGGGTCCTGTACCATCAGGACCAAAGCACCAGATCTTACGTGCTTCTGTTGGATCATATTCATATTTGTCGCTCAAGTATCGGCCTCTTATCTTGAAGTCATCCCGGGCATTTACATCTCCCTGTGAATATTTTAAAAATATACTTCCTGTAATACAATAATATATCAAGCACTGGTTAGAGAACTGCAAGAACATACCCTGTCAATGTCATCAGCCAGCCCATCAGGCATGGGAACAGCCCTCATGAAAAGACGGTTGTGCTTGTTGGGACTCTTGCTCAAGCACGTGACCTCAGATTCCTCACTCACTGTCTCCCGATAAGAGACCACTGGGTCAGACTTTTTAATGGGGATGCAAGCATGGTCTTCTTCCAAATCCTACAAATACAAGGGAAACTTGAGTTATGAGTTAAACATCGGTTATAATCAGTCGTGAATCAACAAGTAAACAGAATTGTATAAAAGAATTTAGCAATTAGTCAAGATTGGGTGATCTGCTGAAATTACAACTTATGAGTGTACACAAGTCAGAAATTCAACAGTTGCATCATGCACATAGGTGGTCTCAAAATGTTAGCACATATACATAATACACCCACTGCATAAGCAACATCCATCAATGTGAGAAACCTTAATTAAATGGAAGATGCATAATAAAGAATTGAGTGAATGCTCTAACACCCATGTCATTCAGAAAAAGAATTTGCCATTTGGAGTTTCACTTATGCATGAAACATGGATCATGAAGCCACAAGATTCCAATAACTGGCCAATCAAAAACCATGCAAACTTAAGCATTAAATTCATTGACTTCATTTCATTATAAATTTCCATGAAGATCTCATTCATTGATTCAAACAAGGCTTTCATTAGGCGTTTGCTACATGGAACCTTGTTGAGCAATATACAACACTATCCATACAGAAAATTTGAAAAACTGTCAGTTTCAGTTAAGAAATTAAAAAATAAAATTTTACATTCCCTTTGTCTAGGCTTGTCTAAATTCTCACCAGCAAGAAGAGCAAACATATAAGGTTCAAATTTGGTGGGCATGTAGTTCTCTTGAAAACTGATTTCAGAAAAAATTGTACGCTTTTTTTTAGGGCAAAACCACTTAGTACCTCCCCCCCCCCCCCAAGAGGTGCATTTTCAGTAATGTTTTTTGATCACACAAAACAGAGAGAAAGTTTAAACTTGGCATAGTACCTGGTGTACTGTTGTGTAAAGAATAAATCCTGCTTTTGAAATGTCCCCTCAGGGTGGATTATTGAAAAAGTATTTCAAGATTTATTTTCCACACAGAAAAAAGGGGCACAAAGATATTTGATGTTAGGTGCAAAAGAAATCACTGGTGTAATGATTTTGATAAAAAATCTTTAGAAGTTTAAGTTTTTGTAACTTTGAAAATGAATGATTTAATGACTATCCTTCATAATGGAGCACCGAACGCATGTCCACAGCAAGTATATTTGCCCATGTTAATATGCTATATAAATGATGTTCTGAAACTAAAATGTCCAGTGAAGCATTAGAGTCCAGGGACCATAATAAGCTCCCCACTCAGGCGGTTTCACAGGCTACAACATTCTCCCTGGTGCCAATGTGCCAGCCAAGCATGACGAGCTCAAAAGCTGGTGGTAAGCTGCCAGGGGAGTCCTCTTCATACAACCACAAGCATCAGATGAAGCACTAACCTTTAAACAGATTTCCAAATGAAGCTCTCCAGCTCCAGCAACGATGTGCTCTCCAGACTCTTCAATGATGCATTGAACCATAGGATCTGACTTGGCCAGGCGCTTCAAACCTGCAGGTTAATCATCGCATTTTAAAAATTAGCCACTTGATATAACATACTAAATGCAATGGAGATTGGGTTAAAAGGGATTGTGACTCTGATGTCCAGCAAGGAATGGCTCTAAGCAACACTATCCCTTGTAGAATTCAGAGATTCACTCTTTCCCTCCTTCCAAATCTCATGTTTCTTACAGCAACATAAGATGTTCAGAAAAAAGGGAACCATGCAACATTATACAAGCAGGACAGACTGATTGATGCCATTGGAAATAAAATTACTTGAATGAAACCATGTTAGCTGGCCCTGCATCAAAATTTAAAAAGGAGGAATTGCATACTAAGATTAAATATTCATTACCTTCAACAAGTTTTGGAAGGTCAGAGGGGTTTTTCGGCTCAACGGCAACTCGGACAACAGGCGAAACACTGAACTTCATCACACGAAGGTTGTGCGCATCCTTATAGGTGGTAATGGTTCCAGTCTTCACCAAAAACTGATCAACTCCAACCAATCCACAGATGTTTCCTAATGATCAACAAAAAAAATTAGTTGCAAAACTTATCATGGTTTTTCAAAGCAATACCTTGAACAAGTAATTCACTGTACACCCAACAATAAATCTCTAGAGTCATGTAGGTATAGGACTCAAAAGAAGAGCTAAGAGGGTGATCATACTCTCCCCTGTAGTTTGCCTCATGTATCCATGACAAGATACAAAAGGAGAGTCTACAGGGCTTTTCATTGACTTTTATAACAGGACTGGGAGGGGGAGGTGAAGATGCAACAAAATGTTACTCAGCAGTAATGATATAATGGTCAAAGTTGCATGGTATATCATAAAGACCAGCAATTCTCCCAATACTTACAAAAACAAAGTAAAACTATTTCAACTATTTCAGGGTCAACTGAATGTCAAAATGTCCTCTAAATAACCTCAAAAGCTAGAATGTGAACCAGGATCCAAGTCAAGCACGTCAAATATTGCCAAAATTAATGTCTCTCAACATACCATACTAATGGAAATAACTTATGCCCATAGTTACTGAGCAGGCAGAAATGGAGGCTCTCTGTACTATTGGGCCAGATTTGCATGTCAAGGGGTAAGTTTTCCTGAATAATAAACCATAGCCTGAAAACCCTGAGAATTTTTAAAGTTCATTTTTATACTTGCAGAGAGCCCCTAAAAGTTAGTTTACTAAGGGATTTTCAGCTATACGAAATTCTTATGAACTTAGATTTGATCATTGTTCGAACTTAGATCAGTTCTAAGATCAGAACTTAGAACAAAATGATGTGAGACAGTTTATCAATTATTGTTACATGTTTCTTTTTCATTCCAGATGAAGATGAGATGCACAATTGAAGACCAGCAGGCTTTTGAACTTTTGAAAACTGCTAAATGTAAAGCATGCATGTAAAGCAAGTGGGGACTATAGCTTTCCAGGATAAACTTCCTGCTGCAAGAGCACTTAGGCAAACAGACAAGCAATTTCACAATTTATCTAAAGTTTGATCATGCAGGTTCTAAGAATGGTGCACCAAGTAGTGGTAGACCCACCAGAGCAAGAACATAGTGAAATGTTAAGCTCAAGAGATGCCTAACTTCTGATTAAACTCTCAGACAAGCAGTTTTCCTCTGTTCTTGCTGATTCTTGGTGCATCATTAAAAAACTTGTTTGATCAAACCCCTAAGCAAGCTTGTAAATTGCTCATCTGCCTTGGTGCTTTTGCAGCAGGAAATTTTATCCTGGAAAGCTGTAGTCACCACTTTAAATTAAAACATGCAAGGAACCATAATGATTATAAACAAAAACAATATCACGTGTTAATAAACTTATGTAAATATAGCATAGCTGAAAATCTTTTGGTAAATTAACTCGTGGAACACCCTGTAAATAGCCAAAATTACGTTAAATCCTGTAACAAATTAGACCATGTTAAGAAATCCTCCATGAAAGGGGAATAGCATTAACAGGATCATGTTGAAGTACACAGTTTAGTGAAAAACCTTCCTCAGGCAAAACTTCAATACCATTGCAGTAGCATTTCACAAGCACCTAACTAATCAATTGCTTACCAGCTGGAACCTCTTCAATGGCCTCAACATAACGACCCATCATAAGGATCGTTCTCTGGATGCTTTTCTCATATGAATCATCCTTCTTCCCTGGTACATAGTTGGGACCCAAGATACGAGCCTTCATTCCAGAGCACACCTTGCCGGAGAACACTCTTCCAAAGGCATAGAAACGCCCTTTATCAGATGTTGGTACCATCTTGCTGATGTACATCATTAACACTGCATCAGGATTGCAGTTCTTGATTCCCATAGCAGCCTCATCATCATGGGGACCTGAAAATGTCCACATCATCCTGTGATTGCACCACAGAAGAAAATGATGCTAAAACAAACCATACCTTAACGGTGACCATAGTAAACTGACAAGAGTCTAACCTTCATAGAGAAGTTCCATCCTGTAACGCTGAGCAGTAACTGGAGATGGAAGATGGATGGTAATCATCTGTAGAAGTGCTTCTCCAGCAGGCAACCATGATCTCATAACCACCTGATCACAAAAAGTCAAATGTTTTGAAATAAAAGCACATGCAACACTGAGATGAATGTCAGTACCTTCAGCAAGGCCTTGCCATCCTTCTCTTTATCTTCACCCTTTAGGACAATGTTCAATTTGGTCAAGAGCTTCTCCACCTCCTCCTTCTTGTAGTTCATGATTGCATCAAAAATCTGTAAACAAAATGCAATTACATAATCACTGAAAGCAAGACTTCAAATTCTCCTAGCTCAAATACTTTGTACTAATCAGTCCTATCGATCCATATGGAAAGGCATCATGGAATTAATTTTCTGCCAATATTTTGTGGTGTCATCATATTTACACTGTTTAAACCTGCTGCAACAGGGATACGAGATACAACTACTTCAGCTCACCTTGAAGATGGGATCAAGGACATACATGCAGAATGATCGCTTGTTCTTATCATCCTTGCTCTTGCTCCATTTCTTTGTTTCTCCATTGAAGAAGTTCTCCCCCCATAGCCTGGGCATTAGTTTATCAACAGGGATCTTGAATTTCTCAGCATACATCTCAGCAAACTGCTTCAGAGTAAAAGCCCAGCCATGCAGACCACTTCCAAATCCAACACTGCCCTTGCAGGGATCCACAAAGATCGGACCCATTGGACCTATAGGGAGAAAGAAGCAGTGAGGCTCAAAATCATTATACTTTGGTAGGAGCAATCCAAGCAAGGGTGGATCATATTTCCATAACCAAGCATTCCCTTTTGATGTTGACCTGATGAAACTTTCAATCTCCATGGTATCTTTAAAAAAAAAAATTTAAGTTGAGATACTCAGGAATAAATTTCCTTCTGCTACACTTATAAAAAAAAAATAGATATATATATAAAAAATTAGAGCCTGACAGTAATGTCTTGGACCTCTAGACAGGCTCATTCAAAAATGTATAATCAATCCTGACTTCTTATTCCACTCAAATTCAACTCTAGGAACATGGAATAACAATCTTAAGTTAACACATTCTGAGAAAAGAATCTCACCCAATTTTAAAACAGACTGGGGAAAAGTATGTTGGGAAAACTGTTTTCAAACTAATTTCTAAGTCAACCTGATAGGCATAAAGTGAGATGAAAGAATCCCTGAACATGAAGGCCAATTGTCACACCTGAGTCATCTCCATAGGTTGCGATGATAACGTTCACATTCTCTACAATCCGCTGGAAGGTCTGGAAGAGTTTTTCCGGATCAAGCTGCAGTTCCAACAGAGCACGATCCATCTTATTCATAAAAAGTACAGGCTTGATCCGTTCGGCAATGGCCTGCCGAAGAACAGTCTCTGTCTGCACGCACACACCTGCATAGATCAAAACACCCATAAAAGTTAATATCTCTACACGAGTCACAAGAAACTACATGTAATAGAAAGCAAATGTAAGCCACAAGAAGGATGGGAACAAGACGAGTACAGTCTTGCCACCGAAGGCATAGTGACAAAGTTGTTCTCCCTCTCACAAGCATTCATGTACCTCCTATAGTGAATCAGGATGGTTCATGCCAAGATGAGAGGTACATTTAGCTCACAAGAATACACATTTCGTGTAACTCACCAGAGACGCAGTCAACAACGACAAGAGCACCATCAGTGACGCGAAGAGCAGCTGTCACTTCTGATGAGAAATCCACGTGCCCCGGGGAATCAATCAAGTTGATCAAGAATCCATTTGTCCCCTTTTCCCTCTGTTCCTCATTAGTGATGTAGTTGCAATCCTTTTCAGATAGCTCAAAGTACATGGAAATAGCCCTGAAACAAAAGAAAAGCAATGACTAAATCACAAAGATTATTTTCCAATAAAATAAATGTCTACTAGACTTTTGCAGTCAGACAAAAACAAGGGAGTCGAAAAGTTCCAATCACGATCACTCAGAGTCGTGGCATCTATGGAGTCATCATTCAGCAAAATATACAGGAATGTTTATTTCTGTCATGTATCATAAAAAATTCTGTATGTATAGGTTCTCAGCTGATTAAAAAAAAACTTTGATGAATAAAATTTAATCAATCTCTTGTTCAGTGGTTGCCCAGCTTTCTGCAAGTCATTTCTGCCAAATGAGCAGTGAAAACAACTGCCCTCCTAAAGCCATTTCATTCCCTTGACAAAGCAATTTTTTTTGGCTGTTGTGCTAGACTATACACTACAGCCAAATTTTATGAGGCATTCAGGGATGAGAGAGGGAAGGTTGACTAATTTTTAAATTGCAACAAAAACTTTGATCGAGTAACAGGTGAAATAACCTAAATGAATTGACAGCCCCAATATAAAAATGTAGCCAAGGTATACACAAAGAAATGCATATAACTCAAAAATTGTCAATCACACCAGGTGACAAAACATGCTTTTCACAAGCCTCAAAGATTACTGGACCTCCAGAGGCAAATGAATTTGATGACAGCTTACGTGGACTTGATGGTGATGCATCGTTCCTGCTCATCCTTTCGAGTATCTGTGAATCTAGTCTCTCCTGCCTTTGCAGAGGCAATGATACCAGCCTTGGAGACCAGAGAGTCAGTCAGAGTTGATTTGCCATGATCCACGTGGGCAATCACGGACATGTTCCTGATGTTCTTCTTTTTGTCCATGAGCCCACGTATCTGGTCTACTGTAAAGTTCACCTGAAAAAATAAAATAAACATGCAAATAATGAAATAAAGTGGCAGTTCAAGACAATAAATGTATCACCAATGAATTTACCAGGAATGGTATATCTAGTCAGACATAACAAAAACTGCATCTAAATATTTTACCAATTTCAGGTTAAACTGATGAACAAAAGCTTAACGGAGACGATATTTCGGTGGCAGTTATGCTTCTTTCTTTGTTGCATTGTATTGGTTTTCATACCATTTCATCTCAGCCACAGCAAGATTAATAACTCATCCATTCCAGAAAATAAACTTTAGAATAATTTACAGTTACTCCTCCAGTTCTGAAGGCTTCGCTCCCTTGTACAACTTTGGCAAAGCATGTGTACCCAGCTGAGATTTTCTGCAGCAAACAGTTTAAACTTCATATCTCAAGGGATAAATAGTTATAGCAATATTTACAGTAGTATATATCATTGGTAAACAAGTAATTGTGACTGGCAATCAGATTTGCCAATCACCTCCACACTAAAGGAACAGGGAAAAATGTCTTCAAGAGATGAGGCACTGGATATGAATAGAATTATCACTATCAAAACAAACGCCTACTAAAGCTGGGAATCATGACAAATATGAAAGCCTGCACAAATGGCTCAAATTTGAGTTCAAATCACATCTGTGATTTAGCAAGCCCAGCTGTATCATTTTTTCAAGAGTAATACTGGATTTACCCCTTCACTGGCATGTTTTCAGACAAATTGTTGGCTGGTGTGGCTGAACGACGAGACTAGCTCATCAGCACCAGTGAAGGGGCTAAAAACAACTTAAGGGCTTAAGGCAAAGGCAAAATATAAATCAATTAGTTGGGTCTTGAACCCATTCCTTAAACACTATCTTCGTGTGTCCTGCATCCTCGAGGGGAATTAATTCGTCCTAACTCATCCACTTATTTTCTTTGCTGGAGCTACCAGCAAGATACCATTTAATTTGAAGATTTACTTAACTTTTACATACTGATAATTACCTACAAGTGCCAACTAAGTGCAGTTATGTTGGCCAACCTATACCAAGAGTTGGCATAGCCATCAAAACAACAACTAGGTAAACCAAGCACACCCATAGTCAGATCAATTCCACAGCTAGGTAAGTATATATTTTTTTAAATAGTATTTGTGAGTAAAGAGTTTGAATACTCTTCTCTCTCTCAAAAAAAAAGAATTAATTCTGCATTCAACTATTACCCCTCAAATGAACTCCTTTGAGACAGGAATTCCTAAGGAAAATGCCTTAGATCTCAGCCTTGTGGTATCCTTCACTAAAAGGTATTTGCCTTATAATGAAGGATACCACAAAGTAACAGCATTCTGAAAAAAATTTTAAACTACAATTCTTTTATTCCCAGGTGCTAAATTGCATCCAATGCAGAGCAGATTCTTCTGGAAAGATGGCTTGGGGCTCAAAATTGACAAATCAAGATTCAAAAGAAACAGCTATCCCAATTTTTAGCTATGAAACATAGGGCACGTGAGGAAACATCAAATGATCCTATGTACACATCAGAACCTACTTCATTGTAAACAAACGTGTAAAATTATAAGAGTAGGTTAAGAAGTAACAATCCTTTCCTGTATAAAGCCATTATTCAATTATATTCCTCTTTTGTACATACCACCTATCTTTGAAAAGAAGTTAATCATTGCTGAGGCTCTACTAGCCAAAATCCTTACATTTCTTTTTCTTAATTTAGTACTGAGCTTGGATGTATATGATTATATCACTGATCTTGTAATCTCATATCCAGTACATATGATGGTAATGGATTGGGTTAAAGAGCTACAGTTTGTTCGAATAAGGTGGCATGGGAACTGGCCATTGTTGTGGTATTATTTCTTTCATGTCTGCTTTTTCTGAGTTCATGTGGGTTCAGGGAGTAAAACTAAGATCCAAAAGTGCAACTTATACAAAAAATTTGGGATATGATATAGTGAAATAAAAGAAAACTTTTGCTGGTAATGGGTTTCACATGATAAATGCAAGAGAATGTAGTCCACTTCCCCTTGCTCAGAAAATGAAAAAGGTGCATACAAACCTTGTGTCATCCTCATCAAGCTGACCTTATGGTATGTTATGCTTAATGTTTTTCATGACTACACAAGTTTTCACTTTACCTGAGTAAAATTAAATGCCAATGACCTTCAATCAAGTCTCTTTGGTCTTCAAGTAGGACTACATAGGCCAGGGTGGCTTGCTAGTAACAGTAATATTTCAGGAATCAATAGCATACCTAAAAATGAAATGGATGTCATACCTAATGAGTAATTGTTGTTTGAGAAGTCTCAAGTATGCAATATGCATGCATATGTAGTTGAGCTTTTTTAGAGGTAAAAGACAAATGAAAACCTAAGCAAAAAAGGTGACCTCATTCAAATTTTTTCACTTTTTTTTTTGGAGTTAAGCTTCATATTACACAATACTTGGATAGTCTAGTTAATCCACTGTTTTGACCATGGGGTCACAACACTACATAAACTTAGAAAAATTGAAAACAAGAAATGGGGAAAGCGAGAATGCATAGGCTTTTTTTTCTTTGCTTTAAAGACATACTCATTACTTCATGCCTGATACACCTCAATTCAGTATTTCTGATGCTAAAAACCAGAAGTAAAAAATGCAATTTTTATTGAATGATTTCCCTTTGTAGCTACATTTGTGGAATTGATTAATGTTGGGCTTTTACACTAGGGGCTCTCCATCCAGCACTCACAAGTAGGAAATATCACCAAACACAACAAACTGCTGAGGCACAAAGGCTGAGGATGAGGGATACAACACCTTTGATAAACCATTGTCCCATACATTTTTGTTTTGCAGTGCTATGTGTAAATGAAGGTCACTGTGGAGGATGCAAAGTCAAAAGAGGTTAACACTTTTGCTCCAGAGGGAAGGTGATTGAGGTTACACTTAAAGAAATTCATATCTTCTTAACACAAATGATACAGACTTGCTCTTTTTTGGAAATTGAAGTATAAGTTCTCTATTTAATTGCTAAATTTCATGCCAGAAAAAATGTAAAAGGGTGTACTGTTATGTCCATTGTTGTCTGATTTCAGTTAGGACTGCACATAGCTTCATCAGTCGAATCAAAATTATTAAAATAAATGCATATCCCAGGACTGCCTCACACTTAACTACTTCACTGGCATGGATGAGCTGGTCTTGTGGAATGGCTCAAAATGTACAACATGCCAGTGAAAGGGTTAAGAAGACATATTATAGCTTCCATTGAAGATGGTGCAGGTGCCCAAAGAAAGGTTCACAATGCCCTCAATCCAAGCCCAAATGCTGAAACTTCCCTTAGTCAACAATCCTTTAACACATTCTTCTACTGTCTAAGAAATACATGTCCTTGTGTCTAATGAGAGTCTTACTGCGTCCAAGCACCATTTGTTTCAGTTATTGACAAAGAGGAGCCCTGAAATATTTACCGACATCATTGGTAGTGGCAACTCATGTTCCACGGTCAATCAACATCTTTGGCTGTGAATGTGTTAAGAATACATGGATTCCTGGGGAAGAAAAAGCTTAAAGAACCCCTTTAAACTCCCCAAAACAAGGTTTGTACATTTGCACCTCAGTAGCAATGTTTGGTACATTAACTCCCATAAACCCCTTAATAGGATGATTTTTTCATGACTGTACAGTCCTCCTTAGGAACATTTAGAGTGCAATACACTGCATGACAATTTAACTGGATATTTCATATTTTCTTGTTTAAAAGTAAATGAAATACAATATACTTCAATTTATTTACAAATCTAGGGAATTGTGTATTAAAATTTCTTCTGTTTTGACAGTTTAATGTCAGGTATCAGCAGAATTATCCAAATAAATCTGAAAATACAAATATCCACTTCAATTGACATACAGTGCATTACACCCTTCACAGGCAAGAAGTTAAAAGTGCCTTTTACTGGTTAATTTAAATTTACAAGTCCAGGCTTTTGTATTATTTTCATTCTCAAGTTCAAGTTTTTTAAAATGCGATCATGTCCAAGTCTAAAAGCCACGTTCAATTTTTCAATTAAAAATCACAACTTTTTGCAATGGTAGTGTGAGGTCTAATACTGAAGGCCCCGTCTCAACTTGGCTGACGCGCCGGACTTGTTAAACCCTCCAAGCTGCAGCCTGTAATAACGTCGCAACAGCGACGTTTCCTGCTTGGAGGGGTTAAATCCCTGAGTAGTCAGGCCTAAAGCTATTTAATCAAGGCAGAGAGATTCACCCTCCAAGCTGCAAACGTCGCAGTTGCGACGTTAATACAGGCTGCATTAACGTCGCAATTGCGACTTTTGCCGCTTGGAGGGTTACAGGTGCTCCTTGATCTAAAAGCAAGTCCTGATGCATGTAGGTCAAATGCTAATAACGGCCAGATTTCTGTCTAGTGGGGGTGGTTTTGAGGCCTAATGCTGGGATTACTTCGATGTGATGAGCCAGTTGCAATAACTTGAGAAGCGCCTCCAAAAAAATAAGGACTTGGCCTTCTATTGCTACAGCCCCTCAACTTCCCTCTAATGCCAAAGTAGTTACAAATGTGGACAACAAAAAGAATGTCTTCTGCTGATGTCTTACGCGAGGTGCCAGATACTCTTCCGTGTAACATGACGGTAAATAAGATTCGGTCTCGATTTCAAAGACCAGAGGTCTCAAGTCCCAGGCCAACATAAAACCAGTTTTGCAATCAACAACTAATAGATCCGAATGGAATAACATCCTAAAGGCCTAAATTCACCATAGCTTCCTATTGAACCGGAATGATGCATTTTTACCTTCACTCGCCTAGACAAGAAAAATGATTGCTCAAGGAGCATAAGTCCCAGATTATTTAGAATTCCTACGCTAAAGGACTCTCCTGAGTTAGAGAAGTCATAATACCAAAACAGAGGAGTGAGTAACTTACCATTTTGCCAAGAATTCAGCAATAGGTCCGCCAGCGAAAGAAGTATGCCACCGTGTAGGAATGGCGGACGCTGAGAAAGGACGGTAGGAAGTGCGTCACGAGGGAACGTTCGATCCTGCGCTGACTCCCTTTCTCCCTCTGCAGCTCTGACGTCGTGGCTAGTTCACGACTGGAGGCCCGCCTCGCACGTTCCCACCGCGTGACCTGGTCTCGCAGGTACGTCATCACCCTGGAGGCAGGGGAGGCACCCTCAACCGCATTTTTCTTTTATTTTTCTAGTCTACTTCTTGTGGAACGCATATGAACTTCCCTGCAATCCATGACTGGATTATGCGCAAACGATGTCCAATGGCTGTGCCTGTGCATACTTCTCTTTCCCTCCTCACCGATTCTCATGAAAAAATGAGTCATCAACGAAAGTACGACTCAGACTAAAATAATGATTTTTGGCTAACTACCAGATTATTTAGCAAAGACCTAGACTATACTAGCAAAGGCTGCAGAGGAAATTTGAATCAGTCGAGCGTTTGTATGTTAAAACACCATGAAGTTCTAAACAATCCACAACTCGTCTCCGCACCAAGGTTTTTATCCCTATTCTTTTGTCCTTGCCGTCCACGCATCTTCGACGCGAAGAAAATAATCAATAGCGCTTTTCTTGCGCGAAGATTGGCCTTACGTGGACCAGTCTAATGAGCTGAGAACCTTTACAATGCCTACGAACTTCTGGAGCCGTTGCTTATGAATGCAATATGAATTAATTAATTCTTGTTCGAGAACGGAGGCCTCTCTCGACGTTTGCGAGAGTATTGAACAGATCACCTTTCGAATGGAACTTTCTAATGGTAGCCAAGAATGAAGCTCCCACCACTTTGGGAATTTCCTCACTGCCCATCGACAGAGTTTGCAACAGAAGGCTGCAAATCAGCTTCTTTGATGTCACCCTTCACAGGCTCTTTCCCTCTTGAACTGGGGCGATTGCGCGAACAAGAATTGTCTTCGGGTTCACCATCTCGTGTGAGGTTTACGTGGGATTTTTTTTATTTTTTTTTTTTTACACGAAATGTCCATTACTCTACAGTTTGCAACACTGACAAGACTCGGTCACTCAAGAATAACTCGAGAATCGGATATTAAGATCTCGTTATGACTTCCCCCATCGAGGCCAAGGCGACGGATTGCGCACGCACGATTCATCTCACTCTTGACGGAAGTGCTGACAGGAATTTTCGCCAGCGCGGTGTCAGGTATACGTGTCAAACCGCCGAGTCATGAACATACTTCACGTTCCACTTTCATGTTACAGGATGTCAAGTGGAAGATGAGCCATTTTTTCCAGATTACGAGCCTCACCCTCAACAAAACCAAGCATTGAGTGGGCTGAACCCCTAATGCCTATTATTATTTTATTTATTTATTTTTTTTTTTTTGGGGGGGGAGGAGCCGAGCCCCCTGAGCCTCCAATGAAGTGCAGGCAGTTAGTGAGCCCAAACCTGTGAGCAATAGTACAGTATAAGCAGATCCACGACCAAATATCATATTTTTCCATATTGTAACTTTCCAAATGGAAGAAGTCCACTTCATGCCATCCTGACTCACAAACTTGGCTTCCATTTTGCCAAGAAATGACAAAACTGTGGCTCAAACTTGACGTCGCTGAAGCAAGCCAAATTTCTGCGAGGCATCTCTCGACCGAGAGAAGACCATTAAAAGTCTCCGAAGATATAATACAGATTATTAGAAGATTAATACAGATTAAACAGTTTGCTCGTCCAAACCTGGAAGCGTCGCATCTTTCGCCCCGAAGCAGCCCTCGGCGGGAAGGAAGCAGGGATGCCGATCATTCACCTCCTCTTCGCTGCCCCAGGCAGTGCGGCTCGAGCCTCGGTCGAGTCAGGGTCAAGTCGGGGTCGGGTCCTTCCGCTCAAATTCTATCTTTTCTCCTCTCTATCGATCGATTTGACCCGGCATACCGAGCGACCTCTTCGCTCATCTAAATTCCTCTCAGGCTTTGGCGAGCAGACGATAGAAACTCCTATGAGAGTTCGTTCCTGCCCTAGATGCAGTGGCGTGCCCAATGGAGGGAAGTCCCTTGGGATATTTTACGGGTTGGATTCTCAAAAATTTTCACATCAGGCCTAAATGCAGGGTGGAAAACCAATTTTTCATGTCAACCCCACTGGGATTTTCTGGGCACGCTACTGCCTGGAAGTATATCTTTAACGCGTCGGATACCGATCAGAAATTCGACACAGGGACGTGGCCAGGGGGGGGGGGGAAGTTTCACAACTGAAGTTTCGACTTGCACTCCTATTCTACCTTCTGAATACAATCACTCTTAACCAATACAAAGCCCCCCCCCCCCCCATTTTGCTTACCCGATGTTCTCTTCGCATCCTTCCTCGATGAAACCCCATTTTGCTTCTATTGCTCTACATGTTTTTTGAGTTCCGGTAGCGAACCATGATTCAGGTTAACTTTCTCCCACTATATTATGACTAATTCAAGGTCAGTCCTTCACCCACATCTCTCTTCATGCAAAACAGTTTGAAAATTTGGGAAGAGAATGTGGCTATTTTGAACTATGAGGTGTTTGGGGTGAAGTCTCAAAAAGTTATCCTCATTCCTCCCAACCCCTCACCTTCCTCGGCCACTTCGTCATCTCATGAGCCTGACAGATCCTCACGAGACACCCCCGAAATTAATTCCTGGCTGCGTCGCTGCTTCGACACAAACATAGACGTGGCAGCCGACGTGTCGAATTCGAAGCGCCCTTTAAAACGGGTTATGGAGCGATGGCTCGCGAGAAACCGAGCCAAAGCAGTCACCATTCCCGGGAAAGAGATTCGTTATCTTCGGTATACCGAGAGCGATGACGACTGACTTCAGAATCGAACATCGCAGTTCCTCGGACGCCAACTGACGGTGGAAGAAGCAACCATTTTAAAGCGGATTGCGGGCTGGAAGGATGGGGTTTCATCGAGGAAGGATGCGAAGAGAACATCGGGTATTGCAATAGTAATCATCATTATAATCATCATTATTATCATCATTGTTGGTTGCTCCAGGAAAGCCTCAAGTGGGGTTATTACGTCTGGTTTTTCCCGGACATCACCTCTTTAGCTTTCCGTCCGGGAGTAATTTTTTTTGTTCAATAACCTTTATTTACAGACATGCCCTTTGCAGAAAAGGATATGAGGTGGAGTGAAGTAGATGATACAGGAAGGGGTATTGAATTTGCCGACGATCGGTTGGAGTGGCAGTCGAGTCATGCAGTTGGGAGTAGTAGAAGGGAAAATCATGGGGTTGGGTGGATCCGCGGCCAGTCACCAGGAGGTCTAGTCAGGCCAGGGGCCTCTAGGAGGAATGGAAGATTCCTCAGTTGGCATGGTCATTGTGGGGATGGTTTTCTTGTTTTATCTATTTTTATTTCGGGAAAAATGGTTATGCAAAAAAATACTAAACGTCCGGATATTTTCCCTGGACATGTCCGCCTTTTTCGCCTTCAAATTTCAGTCCGAATTCAAAGCGTCCTCTTTTAGGCTGTCCGAAATATGGTAACCCTACCCTCGAGGAAAGGAACTTGTGCCTTCCCGTCGTTTCCTTCCCCCCCCCCCCCCCCCCCCCCCCCCCCCCCCCCCCCCAATCTTCCATTCCTCCTAGAGGCCCCTGGCCTGACTAGACCTCCTGGTGACTGGCCGCGGAAGAATATGCCAGGGTCGATGACCTGGATGCGAGGGAGGCAGTGACCCGAGCAGTAAGGGAGGTCATGAAACTGGGACGAAGGGTGAATGCTCTTGAAAATGGGGAAGACAATGCCATCCAACGAAGTCATTTCTTCGCCTCGTTTCGCGAAGCAAGATTATTTACCACTAGGTCGATAGGAGAAAGGCGCAGAGCCTGATTTGCACGAACACGATAGAAAATTCTCGCTCGTGCGAATATAGCTTCGATGGAGTGTGGAGGGAGCAGGCACGCACTCGAGTGCACTTCGAATGCACTTCGGAATGCACTTCGAGCATTCCGAACATTTCAGGGCGGGAAACGATCGAGGCTGCTCTAGAAAGGATTCCTGATCTGGAATCGAGTCCACGCCGAGGGCATCACCTCGCTCGACGAAAATCGACATCATTCGTTCATGATATCGCACGGATCATATCGTAACCAAAACACAAAAATTGGGAAGCCTCAGAAGCAATGTGCTCGGCAACTCGGTCCTTGCATCTCGTTGACGTCCCGCTAAAATCTCACCGAAGACGCGGCTTAGCCCGTTCATCAACGAAAAAAATCTCTTGCCATGCATTCTGGAAGCATCGTCTTGGGGGGGGGAATGCTGGAATGTGTATCAAGACAGAGGCAACTATCGAAAATTGAGAGTCTACTATCAAGGGCATGCCATAGTTGTGGGGGCGGCGAAGATTTCCCTAACGCGGACGCAGACCTCAGATTAAGATTACTCTCGAGGAATAACAAGCTTGTTAAATTCCTCCTCCTACGTATAAAAAAAAAAATCAGGAAACTGGAGCCAGGCGAAATCGACCCAGCGAACGATCTCGGTGATGGGAGCCCGACGACGAGCTATCCACGGCGCTCCCAATCAGCGGTGACGCTAGAGACATCTGTAGGGGATGACGGAAGTCGAAAGAACGCTGGGCTGCCCGGACGGAGAAGCGTCTCGACCTACGTGGTCGAGGCCCCTGCCCACGAACGAACGCGTGTCGACGTCACGACGGCGCTGGAGACGTGGCACGGTGGAGCGTGGCTGCGTGGGTCGGATTCCTTCGTCGATGGAAGTTCGGCAGGACGTCGTCGAAGACCCCCGGTTCGAGATGGAATCTGCAACGAAACGCACTCCGTCTCTGCGGTCTCGATTCAGGTCAGGTTTCATCCAGATCGGTTTCGTTTTTCCTCGAGAAACAGGTGAGAGAGTGCAAGCACCAGGAGGCAAGGGCTTCGAGATCGAAGCCACGAAGCTCTTTCAGTCCTCATTAGTGGCTTCGTAGGCCTTCGTAGGCTTCCGTAGGCTTTCATATTTCTCGGTGATTCCGATCGGGAACACGTAAACATGAACCTGTAGGCTTGTGGTGACCGACGAGGCTTCCTTCTCATCCTGGAAAATTTCAGCACGAAAACTCGATCGGGTGACGGAATGAAGCTAACCGGAAATACGCCAGAAAAAAGGAACTCCGCCGAACTGGAACTTTGGCGAACCGGAAATAACGAGATTGGAAAAACGCTAACCGGAATAAAAGCAACAAAAAAGAAAAAAACAAAAGCGGAAGGACGCTCGACGTCTCCACATCTCATCAATTTCCAAGCGGATTTCCTTTATGAAAATATACACGAGCATATCAAGATAAAGGTTGATATCCAGGACTTCCGTTTCTCTCCACACCGAATCGGCCTGGGGAATTCGATCTTGAAGCGTGCGACATCTATTCTGTGCAGTTGGAACTAATTCCTCGCTGGATTTTGGGCCGTTCGCTCGACTTGAGGGGAATCGCTCGGGCGCGGATGGAGTTCTCGGGACGTGCGAGGGGCTTGCGCCCTTTTTCCATTTATCGATGCACTGAATACACATTCACACGCGTGAATACACGCGCAAGAGACGGTTCAGATGTGTTTGCCGCAAATAATAAATTTCCTCTATGTTCCCGCTGGTAGGCGGGTCTAGCTGTATCCTCATGGTCGCTGGTTGGGAGAAAAGGGGGAAAAGGGGGAGGGGGTGGGGGGAAATGGAAGAGAGGTGATTACGTCGAAGCATTTCCGATGCTCCAATTTTTCTCGTCTTTCTTTGAGGAAGGGTAAAAGATTCATTAAGAGGCAAATAAAAAAAAGGGAATTGACAGCTGAAAGAATGGCAGGGGTTCTGATACTATGGAATTGGAAAAAGGGCGCACGTACGTGAACAAAAAGAAAAAATTCAGCCCGAAGTTAAAATAAGGACCAGTCTAGGATTCAAAATCGCCGGAAACTGGATTCAAACTGGTCGCAGGCGAGCCCTGAGGAGATTTTCACGTTTTGCTCAAATTGTGACTTTAGCGTATGAAACCTTTTTTTCATAGAACTCCTCAATAGTGGGAATTCTGTCGTCTTGGCTCATGAAAACTTTCCACGAGTGAAATAAGTATGTAACAGATGCAAAATAGACACAAAAAAAGCTATGAAAATAGAAAAATGTCGAAAGAAAATAAATTATTTAGGGAGATTTCCAGAGAAGGCGCTGACGAGTTTGAATCCTGCTTCCATTTATTGCTTCTCGAAGTCCGAAATCGGAACTCTTTCGTTAACAAGGTCACAAGGAACATGGAGCCACGTCGATCGGTCGCTCTAGAACAGGCTTCGTGATTCATCGGTGGGGAAACCGGGTCCGCCCTCGTATTTGGATATCGCCCGACGGCTTCAGACGTTCAGCCCCGGGGATGTGCAGGTTTTGTCTCGATCCTCGGTGGTCCCCCGGTTCCATCCATTTTCGTCCGTCTCGTGGGATGCCTTTGACTGGAGATGCCTTGAAACTGGAGGCGCACGGGATCCAGGGTAGGACGAGCGAGTGGATCGGTAGCTGGTTGGCAGGACGAGAGCAACGGGTGATGATAAATGGGGAATCGACACGTGATATCGAAATGGGCGAAATCGCCTCTTGATATCACTAACTCGCGACTCTTGAGGTATGCCATCGGAGGTTTAAAACTAACGAGGGGTAGCCGATTGGAAAATCGTATGGGAAACGGAATCCCTAAATGGATTCCATGTCTCATCGCTCGAGTCTGACGGTTTTCGTCGTCGTATAGCGAGGACTAGATGGGATGGAGGGCTCAATTACAATTCTGATCAAACTGCGCGCAATTTAAGGGTTTATTCATAAAATTCCAACCATCGGTCATTAACAACACTCTTGAAACTCTGATTACGGACTGAGCCCATAAGTGTTGAACTTAACGTTCACGTTCACGAAACTGACATTTCGCGCGTTTGTAAACTTGTGTAAAAAAAATTATTTGCGGCAGGTACAGGAATAAAACCCCATTTCTTGTAGTCTAAGGCTCTGTAAAAGGCCAATTGAATCGGTTTGAAAGTGGTGACAACTGTGGCAGCGGTGGGAACAGAGCGGAGATGAAGTTACAGAATCATCCACAATAATATTATGTTCTACTCTGAAAACTCTCAGGAATGATGGGCAGTCACATAAAAGGAGGCAAGGACTTTTTATTATTACTCTTCCAACAGCAGATTTTCATCTTCTTCGGACTCACTCACATCTAATCCTCATTGCCAAAAAAAAAAACAAAAGGAACTCGTCAAATAAATACACTGGCATTCGAATAATGCTTCAATGGTCCAAATGGCAGTTTTTCAAGACTAAGGCTCTCACGTCTAAAATTTTGCAGGTGAACAACGGCAAGCGATTCTCTGATCCGATCCATCTACTATACTTATATCTTGTGCAAAAAAGTTCATAAATTTTCAAAATACAAAAATCGATAATATAGCTTCACTGGAGAATTTGCAAAAAAAAGTTTGTGAGTCTCCTCTTTCTCTCTCTCTTCTAAACCCACTCTCACACTGGAAGGTCATGAGAATCGACCTTTTTAACTTATGAGTGACACCTTAAAAGGTGAGGACAGACACGAGAGAGAGAGAGAGAGGGGAAAAAAGACAAAAAAAAGAATGGAAGAGGATGAAATAAAACCCCAAAGCAGTTGACGACGAATGGGCAGGCACGTCTATAAACTTCCTTCCTGGATGTTCTGAGGCAAAGTCGGTGTTAAAACCGGCGGATTAGGAGGCAACTATATACATTGACGGAAAAAAGACAAAACACAGAGGAAGCAGGGGGAAGACAGAAGAAGTTGGGCAGAAAGAGCACAGAGCGATGATGGATCATGGTTTCTTTCTCTTTTGTTCGCATGTGCATCATGTCGATGTTGCTCCCAATACTTGAGTGATGTTTTTAATAGCCAGACAGTTCCGTGAAGGTCTGGTCCAGTTCGTCTGAGAGGCCCTTGTACTTCTCCTTCTCCTGGATCAGCTCGTCTAGGGTCAGAAAACAGAACCAAGCTGTGACATCTGCTAGTCTGTGGACCTCAGCACCCTCCAGTTGAGTTTGACACCTTTCCTCTTTAAGTTGAGAAGGATGGATTTTTATTTGCCTTCAAAATTACTGCATGATGGTAGCAATAAGGAGCTCCACATGCCTTTAACATACTGTAGTTCAGTGAGAAAATATCAAAAAATCAATAATGAGGGGAGGAGAAAAGATTGTAAGCCATCACTAGCATTAAATCCAGAAATAACAAGGGAAACTCAGAGATGATAGATCCATAAAACCTCAAAAACCATACAGTTTTATATACACACTTAAATTTATTCATATTTGCTACTGAATACAATGTCAGTTGAACTGAAACTATAAATGGCCTGAATATACAGTAAATTCTGTTCTAGTTCATCAACATAAAGAAATTAAAATAAATACATGGGGGGAAGGGGAGATAAAATTACAAATACATGACCAAGAGATAGTGTAACTGAAAAGGGGAAAAACTGTAAAGGGTACTCTACCATGCAGAGGCCAGGATGAGAATCACGTGCATGCACGCGACACATCAATAATCAAGGTGGGTGCAATCCCTCTTTTTCAAATACCTATGGAGGAACATCAAGGAAGGAAGGAAGGAATGATGGAAGGAAGGGGGAAAAGTGGAAAAAAGGCCAGGATAAAACAAAAAAAGCAGGTATATAAAGGAAGATGGAATGGGTGGGAGAGGGGAAAGGGGGTGTTCACATGTTCTGAATATCCTGAAGAGTGGCTTCCATTTCTTCATTGAGGAGTTTGTTCTTTTCCCGTTCTGCCAAAAGGTCGTCTGCAAAAGGGGTTCCAGTAGCCATGCAAACTCAAACTCATTCCAACTACAAAATCATAAAACTCCATGCTTCCAGCCCAAAGTCCTTCCCCTATAGGAAAAACAGTTTCCACAGGCTTCCATCTCCTAATGGAATCCACAGAAAAATTTGGAAAGGAGGGAAAGGACCATGGTCTCAGGTAACAAACTAAACTCGACACCAACCAAATTCATAAGTAGAGAAACAATACTAGCTACCAATCACCCAACAGTGGTCTCTTTTTCTCCACTTCTTTTCAGACATGAGTACAAATTAATTTATGCTGTTTTTTTTTGCAAATGAATATTTCTGTTTATAAATAAGAGATTTAAAATGAATACCAAAAGATTTTTCAAAACAAGTTTTCCCCCGTGTTAAGAAAAAAAGCTGATGTTCAGCTGGTTTTGCCAAATATGTGTTAATACTAATGGCATGTTTGCAGCATTAAAATAAAAATGAGTGAGAGACACAATATGGGTGTGTGCGAGGAGGAAGCTTGCAAAAGGAATGCCTCTACCTCCAGTGTCTTGCTGAGTGCTATAAATGATGAATGAATGTAGACTTTCTTCACTACTACTGCTACATAGTCATGTATGCTACCTTCAGGTATCATGCAAAGTCTTTCCAATTTCCAGATGGGTCCAAGGACAATCAATTGTAAGCACCAATGTTAAATGACACACCAAACACCGAAAAAATAAATAAAGCCTTAGGCTAAATAATGAATTGGCATTCAGGTTAGGGAAAAGTACCAGTGGAAGCAAGAGTAGCATCCCTTTTGCAAACTCTCCCTGGCAAAGGCGGGAAAATTTCCTCAAACTCACCACCACTCCTTTTACATGCATTGACCTTCTGGCACTTCAAACATCCAACTAAATATATTTCAACTCAAACAGAAAAGGAATACTAGAACACATATTGACTTGTTGGAAGGAAATGGGTAAGAATGGGGGAGTAGGGCACTCTGAAGGTGCAAAGGACACAGACCTTCTAGTCGGTCGACCTCCTTCTGCAACTTCTGCACAGACCTCTCAGCAAACTCAGCACGAGCTTCAGCCTGAAAGTCATCAATACTTACATCAGGAACCAAAACAGGGAGGATTTATATGGGGACAGAGAGAGAGAATGGAAGGAGATACTTCAAATCATTTACACAGTGCAATATGAGAAATGAAATTCTGACATAAAAAATCTGATTCACAATAAAGTCGATCTGAAGTCAACAAATAAAACTTGATGCAGATCTATTGAGAAGTAGGAGGGAAAGGACAGATGTCAACAGCTGGACACGATCCAACAAACCTCTTTCAACCGGGAAGAAAGGGCCTTGATCTGACCTTCATAGTCTTCCTCTCTCTGGGTAGCCTAGACATGAAGGGGGAAAACAAAAGGGATGAAAATGGACCCAACATGGGTCGAGGCATTCACCTGTTTGAGCCGGCCTGTGAGGGACTTGATCTGTTCCTTGTAGGCCTCTTCGCGTTGGTTGGCCTGAAGCCGGACGGATGCACAGAGACAAACAAAGCCACCAGCAACAAGCGAGGAGGAAAAGGAGGAAAGGCAAGAAAAATGAGGAATAGGCAAGAAAAGAGAGAAAGAGAGAGAGAAAAAACCCAATTAGCAAAAGCCCAACAGAATGCAAAGATTGCACAGAGCAATGAAAGACTGCTTTTCACAAACGCCCTGTAGGCCTCTTTGACATGAAGAATATACAAGTACCCCTATGATATGATTTTGTTGCTCCAGATGTAAGTTGCAACATAACTAGCCAAAATGTTATTGAAACACAAAAATAAAACTTTATGCAAAGGCATGCAGGAAATGCACTTGAGGAGGGTGATTTTGAAGTCTTTATTTGGTATTTCATTATCATTGAACATAAAAGGATGCATTTAGATAATTTATATCACTACATGCCCTCTAACTCAAGAACCATTCCTTTGGTAGCATTTACACTGCTTAGCACAATTATTCATATCATAAGCATGGGAGAATGTCTTCCTTTCTCTTTAATCCTTTTAGTGCCAGGAGAATGATATATCATCGTTTTTTGCCTACGAATTGGCTGTGTGGCACAAAAAGGGTTAATAATGGACATGTTTAAGAAGTAAAATCTAACAAATGTAATGATCTTGGTTTTGGGCAAACTTTCTTCAGCACAGCCAATGCACAATTCTGTGCTGATAGAATTCTGGTCCCTGTATTCTGACTAAGTAAAATTATGTAACTGTCAACCAATACTACTCTTCATGGTTAATATCTTATCTGACAGTCAAAATTAACATCAAATATCCCAAGGCCCAGAGATATGAGTCTGAAGTCTGAAGAGTAGGCATATGGTGTACAGTCTGCCATTTTAATCTTTTTCCTCAAGTGAAATATTAATGTTCAATTAGTGGATGTATAGTTTACAAGACAGGCTTTTCTTCTTTCACTTGAAAATTTCAAATTAACAACTCAACAAAAAGGAAAGTGCATTCAAGTATACTAGACTTCCGAGTATTCTGCTTTCTAGACTCTAAGTGACTGTCACCCGGTCAACCCCAAAGGTAGCAGGATTCTATCAATGAAATCTATGAAATAGGGCAAACTGAAGAAGTGAACATTAACATTTTGCAGCTTCTCACTGATGCTCAGTAAAAAAATTCAAGCTCTGACTGATACAGAAGCAAGGGAAACTCTTTGCCTCTTGCATAAAATCCACCAAAAGCTGACAATGACGATTTCTTGTGAATGTAGGATCTATTTGTAACAACCTTGGTTTATTCATGCCCATTCCTTGCAAAAGTTAAGCCTGAAAACTGTTCTAGTTTTCTTTTTTATATGGCAGGCAGAGGCATAGAGAGATGCTAGGTCCCTCTCCTGGGTCACTCAGTGATCTTGTTAACATTGAGCAAGAGTCCATCCCCTATTGTAATTTACAGCACCTACACATCAGATACAGTAAAATCAAAAAGGTTCTCCATGATATATTTTATAAAACTGGAATTTCAGATTGCACAAAACCAGTGTATTATGATAAGTAAAATTCAGTACATAACTATGACAGGTCAATACCAGTATATTACAAGTTTTAGATTTGAAAAATTTCATTTCCCATGGAAGACGAAAATAAAACATGCAAATACATTATGATATAAACAGCAACCAAGATTCATCAGTAAAGAACCAAAAATAAACAAGGGACCAAGCAGGATATTAGTTGAACAGAGGGTTAGAGGGTTGGAAGAACAAACAATAAAAATCAATATTAGTGGCACTGCAGAAGCAAAGTTGCAAAGAGACCAAATGAATGTCCGAGCTCATCTTTATAGTTTTTGGGGGGTCAGGCAGGCTCAAACAAGCTAACCACACACCTCATAACTATCTTTAGTATGGTAGAAAGATCAACCCTACAATTCCTCTGTAATTATGGAAGTTACTCAAAGTCAATGAGCATTATCATGCATTCTAAACCATTTTCTCAATGTCCATATTATGGCACTCAGAATTCCTGTGCATGCAGTAGCTCCAAATTGAATTAAATAGTAATGATGAAAATAATTCAATGGAAATGTTGATACATAGGAATTTATCCAATAGGGAAACTTTAAAATAAAAGACAGCTCAACTTAACAACACCCAGCTTATTTTTAGCCTTTTTCCAATCCAAAGTCCCATCTTTGCATCCCAAGGCAGAATACAGCTCAAAGCGCTAATTATACATGAGGTCTTCATACTTTGTCATGAAATCAACTATTGATACCTATTTAAGGTAGAACAACTTCTTTGTCCAGATAACTTCGCAAGTTTTGCCCTGGAGCTCCACCATCTACTTATCCCCCCCTTTTACTGCCTCCCTATCATTCTTCTGCCATAAAATTTAGGGTCTTAATCAATTCCATTGACAGGAGTTAATTGCTGCTCCCATGGAGGTCAGTCAGGAGAATGCTGCAGAAGAATTCAGGGTGCCAACTATACATGGAGCAGATAATTCAAATGCTTTCCAAATTAACAGAAAATTTACTCACCTTATTTCACAACAAATTTTCTCAGCTGAAACTATTGATTAGGAGGGAACAAAATGTATAACAAAGACTTACCTTTTCTTCTGAAACCTCCAAAGATTTCAAGTTGTTGCCAACAACACGAAGCTCTTCTTCCAGCTCCACAATTTTGCTGCACAGAAAGAAAGTCAACGTATAATGCCACAACGAAAACCAATGCCTTACTGAGAAATATCAATGCCAGAAACAACCAAGAAATGTTACAAGTATCAAGCATCAGGTGAGGATGAGTTGGGGACACTTACGACTCGCCCTGGTGGGCACGTTCTTCAGCACGATCAAGATCCTGCTCAAGCATGACAAGTTTTCGAGCCACCTAAGTCCGTGCAAGGCAAAGCACAAAGAAATCCATGCCACTGATTAGTTCACAACACCAAAAAGGTCTCACACTACTTCTACAATAAAACACTGGTTAGTGAAATCTCTAGACCATGGGTGGGCAACCTTTCCTGTCTGGAATATCCACTCATGGGTCAAGAGTTGCTTATCAAAGTACTGCATGCATGTTGTGAGCCACAGGTTGCCCACCTATGCTCAAGATTCAGCTCTCTGACTTGCTTCAAGTCCCTAGCCTGGGCAATCATGGCATCATAAAGGTCAGCACCTGATTCATTCATGAATTGACAAAGAATAATTCATTAAAAAAAAATATCCTTTTTTAAAAATTGTCAACATAGTTCTTCAAGTTCAAAATTCTTCATCACACTTCAACAACTATCAACCTGATAACTTTATGAATAAAAAATTTGTTGAAAACTCAGCAATTTCCTGAGTTTTCAAGTAAAATATCCAGCATATACACTTTGAGTGTGACCTGGATGCAATTTAGTTAATTTTTCCTTGAAAACAGTTTAATAACACTTGTTGAACAGAGGCTGCGAGCCAAAGATTTATTTGGTGTAACCAAAATCAGGCCATGCTAGGAATGTCAATTAGTATAACTTAGAACTTCTATGAAAATTCAAAGGGATCATTTAAACTATGAAGAAAAGTGAATCCATGCACACTTGGAGTTCACACACACATTCGGAGAAGACAGGAAACTGGAACCATACAAAGTCAGGCAGGAACACGCTGTCACAAACTTACGATTCTCCTGTCTCTGCACGCTCTTCTGCTCTCTCAAGATCAGCCTCAACCATGGCCAGCTTACGTGCCACCTGACAGAATCACATAATGTCAGAAGAGCCCTAAAGAGTGACCCAAGTTCTGAGATGGATTTCCTAGCCATGAGACTTCTTTATGAAGGAAAACCTTCATGAAAAAGATGTGAAAAAAAAATGAAAAGTCATTGTGAGATGAAAATATTGTTTCAAGTACTACATGGAACTAAGGTCAAGGTCTATCACTCATGACCTGGGATCATTTGCGAAATAATAGACAAAAGACAGGTGCCTAATTTGAGGGCAAGATGACTACAGAAGGCCAACTCAAAGAAGAACAAAACAAATAAAAATAGAACTAATCTCAAAAATAAAACAGCTCAACTAAAAAAGGGCAAAAACTAGCTTCAGAAACACCAAACAAATCCTCATGCAAGACTACTGAAAACCATTTGGAGACTCAAGTACAATTCTATCAGATGGATAAATCTGGATGAAGAATCTCCCATGACATAAAATTGTTGGGCAGTGGTATTAGTGTGAAGACTAAAGAAATGACCCTATCACAAGTTAGAGGTGAGGCCACGCACGCCAAGAGCAGGCCAAGAGGGATTCAGCCGACCTCATCATATTTTCTGTCAGCTTCCTCAGCCATGAATCGAGCTTCCTTGAGCTGGTTCTCCAGGGCATCCATCCGCTCCTCATCGGATAGCGAGCGGTTCTCAAGCACCTTGCGCATTCTACATTCACCCAATCGCACACACACATATCCCAAGTGTATCAGTTCAAATCATACCTTGGAATGGAAAACACAGGCTACAAGTGATTTGGGCATATCTCTTGCAACCTGTGTGAAGAAGAGTCAGATAATTCCATTGGAAGGATTGCAAGAAAGCTGCTGATGCAACAGCAACTGAAAGTATAAGGGCTTCTTATACAGTACATTTCATAAAGAAACCAAAGACAAAACAACTACTTTGTCTTTCTAGAAAGGTTAATATTACAATCCCATTCTGAAGTTTTGTATCTATGCAAATGAATATAGAATTTAAGAAGGGCAGTATTAACTGAGAGAAAAAAAGATTAAGGAAATGCTGAGGAAAGTTCACACCTCCTTTATTTTAGCTTGACTGAAAATGAAAACAAGAAGGTTAGATGGAGCAGAATTAATCAAATCACAGCAAAAATCAGAATCATGGAAAGGTAAAAATATTTATAGCATCACTTTCCTATCTTCCTTTTCTCCACTTTATACTTAAAAAAATATATATCACAACCACAACAGCAATGTAACACAGACCAGTGATACTTTGGCAATGCAAGAAGGTTACTTCTTGCATTGTCAAAATATCACTCTATCCATTCATCAGATGACTTTCCACTATCCTTCCAAAATGGAATTCCTGAAGAAATTAATCTTAACTTATTGAAGTGTCTCACGAGGCCATATTCCCTGGGGCAAACATATGATCCATTAAAAATGCAAAAATGTAATTAATATAACTTTTTAGATGTCTAATAAAGGCAGATGGGAGCACATGAGAGGGCAGGGAACATGAAAACTGCCCAAGAAACCAAGTGAGACCTCCAAATAATCAGAGTCTCCACCACCTTCATATGGTGGTAAATGTAGACTCTTTTCTTACCTCCTCATATTTCTTATCAGCTTCCTCTGCAATGAGCTTAGCCTGAGCAAGCTGGGCCTCCAGAATGGCCACACGGTCATCCTCCATGTTGGTTCGATTCTCCAACGCCTTTCGTATCCTATTCATCACCATTTTTAGCATCAAAAACTGATTTCATTTCAAGAACTACCTTCAATGGCTTTCTTTGCAACTTCTGTGTTTTGGATTACCCATGGAAGCAGTAAGATAAAGGTAAAAAGTGAGAATGTGACAACATGCAAGAATGTGACAAAGGATCTTCCATGAAGCACTTATCAGCTAGCTGATAAAGGTCCAGCTCACAGTGTGGTGTGATAAGCCAAGATTGAGGACAATGGCTTACACTGTGAATGACTCACTGACACAAATACTGAATTCAGATTAACCAAGCAAGGCCAGAATATTCCAGGGAGACATCAAATAGTGTAAATTTAAGCATCCTGAGTATGATGATTCCCAAATTTATGCTAGTTTTTGACAAGAAACAATAATTTTGATCAAGGCATTTAAATCATTAATTTTAATTTCATTGAGATCATCCAAGGTAGACCTATTGTCCATAAGAGGTACTTTGCACAGTGGCTCCTGAGATACCAGAGCCGGAAAATTCCCATATCTGGAGGAGTTGACATTGAATTTCATACCGTTCTGATTCATCAGCGGCTTGAGAAGCTTCAGCCAACTTAGTGGTGCATGTTCCCAAACGTTCCTCTGATCTTTCCAAGTCCTCTTCAAGCAGCTGGATCCTCCTGTTCAAAGCTGCAACCTCTGCCTCTGCCTGTGTAGTGGAAATAGTGAATAATGAAAATATTGTCATAACCAAGAGAATTCTGAGACCATATATGCCATCCAGGTAAGGATGAAATCTTACTGATTTCATCACTATCATATTTCATGACAAAGCTTGAGGGTGAATCTAAAACCTAAACCCAAAAGGTTTGCACTTGAGTCCAATAATATAATGATTCCCTTCCAGAATGTGAGCAATTGAACCAGATTTAAATCTAGCTATTAAAATATATTTGAATCTCATATGGACGTTGTGAAACACAAAGTGTGTTTCTAACATTTACACCAATTCCAACTCATCATGTATGTTGGCAAGGGAATGAACCATGTTTTCCCTTTTTTATGCATCAGTGATCATCCAATATACTGTATATGCCAAAAGATGAGAAGATGAAGAATGTAAGAGGTCAAATCTCAAAGAATTAAAAATCCAATCCAAACACAAGAAAATATCATTTTAGGAAATTATTTTAAACCGGTCTATTAAATTCCTGCGATTTGAATCAGCCCCCATGAATCCTGAGACCTTCAGAAGTGAATGCCAGTTAAATTATGAAATAGTTGTTACGTTAATCTTGATTTGGTATATATTCATTTCACTGCCAGGGTTTATAGATTCATCTTCTATTTTTGTAAAGCATAAGACTCTGAAAATGGACTCGTGAAAAAAAATGCTTCTCTTTTCAGTTTCAATTGAAAAGGAGGAGGGGGAGACTCCTGCAAAGAGAAACAAAGCTGCACAGAAAATGAATTTGAGTTTCTCTCCTACCACGGTCGCCTAATTGCACACAAAAACATTTGCAGCTTCTTTCATAGCATGACCAAAAAAGGGCAAAACGGGCGGAAGAGCGGCTCTACAATGTCACCGAACAGGAACTGGGCTGGGCAAGCTCTATTCCAGTTTATTGGCCAGGAAAAAAAAACCGGAAACAGCCCATGATGCCACACATATCACTTGACAATGGAAAATGAAAATAAAGAGGCAGAACGAAAAAAAAGGAGTAAATGGGAAGCAATGAAAGTCCATCAATAGCTAACAGTGGGTCGTACGCAACATGGATCAGACACGTATATAGACCCAATTTTTTTTTTAATTCGTCCCCTCCGCTTCTCTTTCGTCATGCGTGTTTCCTCTTCCGGCAATACCCATCCCCATCTCGCATGCGAATCACACACACACATGCCATTCCGAGTGTCGACAGCACATGAACTCAGAGTCCAAGTGCTACTCCAGGCCTATAACGGTGAATCATTTCCCTCCCATTCCCATCGTTTCCCTCTGGTACTCACGAAACATGGTTTGTATAACGAACGAACGCTTCTCTCTTCCCCCCCTCCCCCCCCCCCCCCCCCGCAGCTTCATGGTCGTTCCGATTCGAATCTTTCTTCGCACGAAGGCGAATCGCACGAGGGGATGGAAACGTGATACTTCCAGTTGCGTGCTACGTCACGATACCACTCGCGCTGTTTACTTTTCCTCCCCAAGACCGTATGCCGATGCGTCGAGCAGTGCTAGAAAGGAAACACTAGAGCGTTGCACCCACTCAATTGGCATTCGTGCTCGTGTCGCCATGACCTGGACTGAAATATGAAGATGCCTTCAAGATAAGACAGGCGTATTCCGCAAGATTGATTGATTAAATAAAAAATGTATACTCCACGCCTGAAAATGTACACATACCATAACAACTTTATACCGGTTTTCGAAATCGCGACGATCGATTTGACGACGCCTATCATGTATTTAATGAATTTTAAAAACGTCGGGGGCCAACACCCTTCCGCATTATCCATATCGCGGGTTCCGCATACGTACGTCGTTTTCCCACGTCCCCATGATTATGACAATAACAAACGGAAGGCACCGACGAGAAGAGGTTCTCGACAGCTCCGTCAAGGCCGACGGGGGATGAAAGGAAAAGGAGTTGTTGCTTCATATCGCTTCAAAGCATCTGTTTCCCTTTTATTCTCTCTATTCCTTCCTTCCCATGCGGAACAAAAACTCTGGCGTGCAAGTGTCACTGTAACGTCACGAGCGTGAATCCTGCAAGACAATAATTCCCAACCCTTCGAGCATAAACATTGCCAATACTTATTTTAGCTGAAGTGCATACTTCATACAACCTGGAGTGGAAGATTTCTGGAATGAGCCTCGATTCCGCGTAAGGTAGCTTATCCGGTGCGGGACATGGGGGCATGGAAGGCAACAAATATTCCCACGTGTCCGAGTACGAAGGAAGAAAAGGACGAAATATGCAGGGAAAGGATCGGAAGGGTGAGCGTCCTTGAATGGAAAGCAACGGACTGGATGAGTCCCTATGACATCATCCATTCCCGCCTCCAGGCTCAAGTGTGGCCTCTGACGGTGGTCGAGGCCCAACGCCAACCACCTTTCCCATTATTTCCACTCTCCCGGGTTTTCGTAACGTCTTTTCTTCACGCCGCCTGAACATCTGTTAAACTCTTTACTCCGTTTTCCGTAATCGAAGCAGAAGGCGTACGGGTTATTAGCGGTCGCACACGACTTCTCGAAAAATGGGCAAAATTTGGCAAGCCCGGGCCAATCTTCGGCGTACGAAGATATTCGTTCGACAGCGACGGGACCTGGCCACCTCGTTTAGTTAAGCCTAGGTTAGGGCCAGAGTCTGACGCATCCCCACTAAAAAAAAATAAGTTTCGGGGAAGAAGTGAATAATGAGAGGAAACCGGAATTTCGTTTCCAAGAAGGGCACTGGACTTGTCCCTGACTCACTTCTTCTCTCCTTAATTTTTCCACCTGAAGGAGTCTTGTCGCTTCGTCGTAATCGTCTCGATATTTCTCCATCTCCTCCTTAGTCTGACGCATTTTCTTTTTCAATACGTCCAGAAGAGATCCCTGCTGGTGTACCGATGTCATTTTGTCGGATTTGAGAGAACGATCTCAGATCACAGATTCCCTGCAGCTAGTCCAAAGGTTTCCGGCAGTCGGTCTTTCGTTGAAATGAGGTGGTGCGGATCGTTCAACGCATTAACCCGGCGAGATATCACAGAATATTATGGCCAGTTGAAGACCAGAGTCACAGGCACTGATGCTAGAACACCGTCACAGACCAACCAAGCTAGGCCTATGTATGGCTTTATGCCGACCGGAGATCCGCCATGCTCAGGAATGGGGCCGCTGAGCCACACGAGAGCGGACGGTTTGTGACGTCACGAAACATAGTTCCTCAGGCGGTAGAGACCTGCAAGGATGATAAAGTGCCCGCGGGCAAACCGCTGGCCTATGCAAGGCCTTGAGGACCGACCCAGTCGAAAGGGTTTGCAGGATTCTATTAGAGCCAAGCCCGTATCACGAAGGGAGAAACAGTCGTGGACCCCATCCAGGGAATTCTCATTTCGGTTTGCAGGTAGGGATAGAGCTCCACCTCCTTTGATTGCATGCCATCATCAGAATGATGAGGCTCAAGATAGAAGTCTCACCACGAGTGTCAGTATATAAACATTAATAAGAAAAAACAAGCATGAACGACCACACGCATGTGAAAACGAATATATCACTGCGTGGGAAAATCCTTAAATAAAAACTAAAACCATCAGCCTTTAGCTGCCTTTTGTTTATTTATTTTATTATTTATTTATTTTCATTTCTTTTTTTTTGGGGGGGGGGGGATGGGAGGTGGGGGGGGAGGAATTAATCGGCTTCAGAGAATAAAACTAACATCGTAAAGGAGACAATAAACGGATTCGGATGGGGAAGACAAGTTTTTTCCCATTGAAAGGTTGACATTAGGATAATAATGTATTCAGTTTCAATATTATCAGATCGTAAGCTTGCAGTGCTGCAAAGTAGAGAAGCTCTTGGAATGCTTCCAGGAATAAATTTATGCGGGAATGTTATTATTCAGGTCTGAATTTATCCAAATATAAATGCAAAGGACGTCTTGACAAGAGAATGCCGAAACAAATCAGGATCAGCTTGATCAATTTGTGAAGCTTTAACGCCCAAAACAAGCCCAACGATCGTCTGGAAATGGAAGCGATTGGACTCGTCAAGTCGCGACTGATACGACATCTTGCATACGCATTGCTAACTATTGGTTCCGCGCCATTCGCCCTAGATGGCAGCCATGGGCACAGTCGGAATGTATCACCTGTTGCCGACCACGTGAGAAAACAAATGACTGAGACCTGTTGACATTGTCGAATCATTAAAAAATCACGTTGGTTTTGAACACAGCCAGAAGCGAATATTACTCCTATGATTTCAGCGCTCTTCAGGGGCTAGAGATTATTGATTAAGAACTCCTCACAATGTCTGCATTGTGCGGTTAATTTTATAGCGATTCCGGTCGCATAGATTGTGACTATTTTGCCAATTAGGGACTCGGTTGCGAGGTTGAATGGGTATTGCAGCAGCTTGGTCATTGGATGGGAAATCGGTCCGTCGGATCGGACAGGAGTGACAGAATTGATGGGATCTGACAAAGAAGGAATGGGGTCAGGGTTAAAGAGGAGGAAATCGTGAGTGCGGCATCGCATAGACGAAGAGGGGGAGGTAGAAGTGAGTCATGTTTTTTTCATTCTCTCGCTCTTCTTTCTCTCCTCTCTTTCCCCCTGTTTTCACATCCCCTTCTCACGCACAGCTGATTGGCATTGCGCCAACAAAGAGGGGAAAGGTAATGAAATATTATACTTTACCCGTTTCAGCTGGACGTTCATGACATTGTGGAGTTCGTTCTTGATGATGTTGAACTTCATCATGGTATTGGAAGAGAATATGGAAGATCCAAAGGCAAGGCCGGGATAATCGGCACTATATCGGGCCTTCCTCCGATGCCTCTCTGACAGCACCTCAGTACACACGCTGGGGCAACGCAATTTCGCCAGTTCTGCAGTTTCAGGATCGTCATAGTCTCCCGACGTGAAGACCGTGCAATTCCTTGCATGACTGCCTGTCGTGGCCGAAGCCTCATCGGCGAAGATGTCAGACGACTCACTGAATCCCAGGTCACTGGTACTGGAAGCACGACTCAAGGAGTCCGTGGAATCTTCAGTGTCTTCGGGACTAGCACCATCACCGTTCACGTAATAAGGCACCGTGGGCCCAGGCCCATCACCGGACTGTCTCTGTGGCTGCTGTTGGAAGGATACGGGGCGTGAAGCCCGTGCACGTCCACGCCCGGGTCTCCGAGAGCGAGTATGTGCCTGCCCCGGCGCAGCCATCTTGGAGCTGCCTCTGCACGCCGCCATGCTGCAGCGCTTCCACGTGACCTCCCCGCACGTCCTGGTTCGCACTCATGCGCCCGGTCCGGCCTCTCTACTTACCGCCTTCCCCGATTTCTCTGTTAGGAAAAGCTCTCTTCTCCGCGTCTAGTTTATTCCCTTCTCGATATCTAAACTTGGGACATCGTCTCAGAATTTCCCAGAAAGGCAACACAGAACGGGATAGATAAACATGGGAGGTCTAAGCGAGACGGAACCGGCGGAGTGTCAGCCGTGAAGCCTTCTTTGGCACCGGGCCTGACCGTGCCAAAAACTTAAAATTAGCCAGCACGTAAATTTAGCCCAGCACGGGAGCTCCCCCTGGATGGTGTCATCGGAATGCCGGAAGAACCTCTTTGGCATAGGCTGCAGTTGGAAAGTCGACTCTATGGATTCCTGAACAATGTAGCCGGAGCATCCCCATTCAATTTCTCGCACATCCATGTGCACACTCCACTTCCATCCGATAATGGCACCTTCTTTCCTTTTTGCAGTCGCTTTCCATATTTAACAGGCATGAGACTCAAGGCTGGGCGACAAAAGATTTCGCAACTGAGTTGCCCCTTCTCTTAGTTGCTTCCCAAGGATACATACTAGTACGTGCACAAAGACCTCCATTGACGAGGTTGCCCGTCTTTCTACATCGTCATATTTTCTCTCATGGGGAAAAAAGGGGAGCGTTCAGATCTGGCAAAGTTTTTTTCACCTTTAGCGTTGGCACACAGGCAAACGGGATGTTGTGGTGACGCCCTTATGAAACCGGAGATCTGGAACGTGAGGATATTCGGTACATATTGCTCGCATAAATATAGCCTCCTTCCGGAATGAGTACGTGGGGGAGGATGGAATGCGGGCCGTTCGGTTGTGAACCTGGGCCTTTTCAGGGCTGGTGAAACGAAAGGATGATTCAGAGGTGGTCAGAGGACGAAATCGAGGGTCGAATCAGTCGCCAACTCATTTGTATGCAAGTCGAATATGCCAGACGGTGACGTCATCGCGGCTTGTTTCCAGGTCAGACGCTCTCTGACACCTCTCGTGTTCACTTTCATATTTTTTGATTGCCCATTGATCTCATTTCAGGCGTCGCCTTTACTGTTCCCCTGTCACACTTCTAGCATATGCACTTATCACGAAGTGGAACGTCGTAGACACGAGCGTAGTTACGGCAATTTTCGTGAACAGCGACATGTGGGAAGGGGTGGCAGGAGGGACAATGCCCCCCTCTACCATCCCCCTCCCCCCCCCCCCCCCTGG